TGTTTAATGGGGCCGGAATTTCAGTTTGGGAAGATGAGAAAGTTCTGGAGATGGATGGTGGTGATGGTTGCACAACGTGAATGCACTTAATGGCTCTGAACTGTACACTTAAAAATATTAATATTAAAATGGTCAATTTTGTATTATATGTAGTTTATCACAGTTTTTTAGAAAATTAGCAGGTATAGAAACTGAAGCTACTCTTGCAAATGGGCACGTGGGCTCATGCCTTCCTGCCGCCCTTTATGCCAAAGGTCCTTTAGAATGTGGGAAACCCTGTAGTGTCTCCCTGTGGCCACAGACTTGGGTGGAGTGAGAAGATGCTTGGCTTCCTTCCTCCAAGCAGCCCGTGGATTAAGTTCTCCTCCTGGACAAGGGCGCGTCACCCCCAGCTCAGTATTCATCCGCACACTTAGGTGAACAGGCATCGGTGTGTTTTTATGAAGACCTACACCTTATGCGTCATGTCTACTTATATATATCTCTTGCACGTAGAAGGGGGTATGTGTTATGAAAATGTATCTATAGAAGTGTATGTGTATTTTTATGAAGATCAATTCTATGGTCAGATGTCATGAGATACATTTATTACATCAGCTGGAATGGGTCGTCATTCCATACCATTGTTGAAATGTCTGAGGTTGCTCAAATTCACTGGTAATTCTGTGCAATACGGTTCTGGCTATTCATTGGGTATCGATGGCAAGATGTTCCATTCAGTTGTAAGTAACGGCCCGAGTTCCCCCAATAGCGGGATGCAGATTTGCGCGTTCTGGCTACATGGAGATGGACCCCTACATTGTGTTCTCTCTTAGGAATCTTCTGGAGGAAGGAAGGGCCACTGTTCCCTGCCTGGCAGAAAGACTGACCACGGAGCTCATCATTCACATCTCCGTAAGCACACGCAGAGCTGTCTGTTCTCTAAAAGGAGACACAGAGCTGAGCCTTGCTGGCTTCTTAAACGCCACTGTGCACACAGATCTCCCGGGGACCTTGTTAAGATGCGAGTTCAGGTTTGGTGGGTGTGGAGTGGAGCCTGAGATATCCCGCATTTCTGGCAAGCCCCCAGGTGGTGTGGATGCTGCTTGTAGGAGGGCCAGGTGACAGACTCTATCCGCCTGGCCTAAATAAAAATTAAAACCTTATGCACACTCTACTAACTGACTCTCATTGCCAACCACCATTATAATGTCTTAGCCATTGTAATGAACATATTTTTTATTTCGGAAAGCTCTCCGTGGTTTTTCTTTTCAAATCTGCCTGAACATTGTCTTTTGCTTTTTCAAATTTTCACCTCAGCACCAGGGTTCAAGGTCTTCCACGCCGGGCCCAGGAGTACAGGCGGAGAATAGGGTTTCTAGCTGATCGTGATGAGAGCAGAGCCTGTTGGGGTCCCACCTTTATGCGGAAAGAGGGTGCTCCCTTATTCGAGTCCCCACCTTGAGCAAGCTGCGGGCACTGATGTTTTGCCTCTGCTCCCAGTCAGGCTCATAGACTCAAGTTCAAGTTTTCTTACCTAGACAAGTGCGCTTGAGTCTGAATCTGGCATCATGGCTGCTTTCTTCTTGAGTCCCTGGGAGGCTGCTGTCACCTGGCTTTGGCCTCTAAAGATCCCTCCTTAACTTGCCAGCTCCCCGATACATTGAAAGGGACAGTGTTAAGGTTTTAGCCATGTTTAGATGTTTGCCCTGGAAGAGTGTGCCAGTGTATGCAGTCACCATACTGTTAGAAGCACAAGTCCCTGGTAACTTTTCGTCTGTTAAAAAACATTAAGAGTTGTTGAATCTCAAATCGTTCCAACTGCCGCTTTTTCAGAACCTGCTAGGCAGCTGGATCTTTCTCATCTCCCCGCAGAGAGCTTACATAATACGATCACAGGAGGAATTTCTACTTGTGTTGCTCTTATGGGGCCTGGGAATCGTGCAAACGCGGGTATCTTAGTGGCTCTTGAGGCTGTTTCTATAGCAATGGCAAAGTGGGGAGACCTGGGTAGAAAACAAGGCCCCTACTGTGCCCTCTTTCTGCCTGGAAAATCTTCCCTTTTAGAGGAAACCGGGAAGTCAGATGGACCGTGCAGCTACTCCGCAGGAGGCCCGGGACATCCTTCTCATTCCCTGTCCATATTTATAAATTTTCGTTATTTTCTCTCCATTTTCCTCAGAAATCGCTGCCTTTGTTAGAAAATCAAATTAAGGAAAGTCACCAGAAAATAACAGAGGAGTTACAAAAGTATGGTGTGGACATACCAGAAGAAGAGAATGAGAAAATGTTCTTCTTGATAGATGTGAGTGTTGCCGAGTGCGTCCAGGGGGAGACGCGTGTGCCTGAAGCACTTCTTTCTTCACTGCCCTAAGCGGGTCCAAATACACGTCCACAGCACTCGGCAGGGGGCAGGGCAGGGTGCGGTGGGCCCCGCGAGGGCGGAGTCAGCAGTGGGGGACACCACATCTCCTCTCCTTGCCTCTTGGCCCTTGATGCTGTCCTGAGCACTCGCCCAGATCCCGAAGGCAGTGAGGGGAGGGACGGGGTTTCTGGCCGAAGCCTCTTCTTTCCTGGATCCCACAGTGTCTATAAGGAGATGAAGAATGACTCCCCCACCTCAGCATGCACACGACCTCCAAACCTCCTTGACGCTTGCATCTGAAATGTCTCTGCTTATACTGATATTTTTCTTTCTGGCAGAAAATTAATGCATTTAACCAGGACATCCTTGCTTTGATACAAGGGGAGGAAATTGTCGGGGAGGAGGACACTCGGCTGTTTACCAAGCTCCGAAAGGAGTTCTGCAAATGGAGTGTTTTAATTGAAGAGAATTTCCAGAAAAGTAAGTAGTCCCTTTGGGCTGCTATAACAAAACACCTTAGACTGGGTAATTTATAAACAATAGAAATTTATTGCTCACAGTTCCGGAGGCCGAAAAGTCTAAAATCAAGGCACTGGCAGACTCTGCGTCTGGTGAGGGCTAGGTCTCTGCTTCAAAGGTGTCACCTTCTAGCCATGTCCCCATATGGCATAAGGGACAAACAAGCTCCCTCAGACTTCTTTTTTATGAGGATGCTACAAGCATACCTCAGAGAAATTGTGGGTTCAATTCAGACAATCAAAATAAAGTGAATATTGCAATAACACAAGTCCCACAAACTTTTTGGCTTCCTGATGCATATAAAAGTTATATTTATACCACACTGTAGTCTAAGTGTGCAATAATAGCATTATGTCTGAAAAAATGTGTGTACTTTAAAATATTTTATTGCTAAAAAATACTGACACAGAGGCACAAAGTGAGCATGTGCTGTTGGGAAAATGGCGCCAACAGACTTGCTGAACTCAGGGTTGCCATGAACCTTCAATTTGTAAAAGTCTCAGTGTCTGCACAGTGCAATGAAATGAGGTGTGCCTTTAATCCCAGGCACGAGGGCAGAGCCTGCACTTCCCAAAGACCCCGCTTCTTGAGGTTAAGTTTCACATTGGGGTTTAAGTTTCAACATATTGGCTGGGCTCGGTGGCTCACGCCTGTAATCCTAGCACTCTGGGAGGCTGAGGCAGGAGGATCCCTTGAGGTCAGGAGTTTGAGACCAGCCTGAGCAAGAGCAAGACCCCGTCTCTTCTAAATATAGAAAAATTAGCCGGGCATGGTGGTGCACGCCTGTAGTCCCAGCTACTCGGGAGGCTGAGGCAGGAGGATCACTTGAACCCAGCAGTTTGCGGTTGCAGTGAGCTAGGCTGACACCTTGGCACTATAGCCCAGGTGACAGAGTGAAAAAAAAAAAACCTCAAAAAACCAAAATAATAAAATAAATTTCAACATAAAAATTTTGGGGCGACACAAACATTCAGGCCATGGCGGTGAGTCAAGGTACCATCGTAAACTCAGTATGTCGGGTTGGGAGAGAGGAGGGGAGTGTGTTGGTGAGGATGGCCACAATAAGGAGTTAGGGCCACAAAAGCCACGTTTGCTCTGTTCCGTATCACTGAACCCAAGTGGCCATCAGCTGGTGAATGGATAAACAGCTGTGGCATATCCACGTGCATTCGTCTGCTAGGGCTGCCATGACACAGCCCCACAGACTGGGTGGCTTAAACGACAGAAATGTATTATCTCACCACCGTGGAGCTGGAAGTCTAAGATCAAGGCATCAGCGGGTTTGGTTTCTCCTGGGGCCTCTGTCCTTGTCTTGTGGACGGTATCCTCTCCCTGCGTCCTCTGTGTCATCCCTCTGTGTGTGTCTGTGTCCCAATCCCCTCTTCTTACAAGGACACCAGTCAGATTGGATGACCTAATGACGTTACTTCAATTTAATTACCTCTTTATAAAGAGCCTATCTCCAAACAGTCACATGCTGAGGGACTGGGGGTTAGGACTTCAACACGTGAATTTGCGGGGGACACAATTCAGCCCGTGACACCAGACAGTGGCACATTTTCAGCCACAGAAAGGCACAGAGCACTGACAGATGCTGCCGCATGGGTGAGTCTTGATGTCACACTGAGTTAGAGCAACAGTCACAAAGCACCACGTATTGTGAGTCCGCTGATAGGAAAGGTCTGGAACAGGCAAATCCCCGGGGACGGAAAGCAGAGCAGCGGCTGCCAGGGCTGGGGAGGGGGAGATGGGGAGTGACTGCTGACGGGTGGCGGGTTTCCTTGAGGTGACGGAAATGTTTGGGAGTTAGTGGCGATGGTAGCACAATTTGTGAACATACTAAAAATCACCGAATTGTGCACTTTTAATGGGGCGAATCTTACAGTATGTGAATGATATCTCAATAAAAAATCCCCATGGGAAAATATCTCCTGACCAGAAGAGGGCAGCAGACAGCCATGCCCGCTTAGTTCTTCAAAAAGAGGAACCAGAGCCCTTCTGAATTCCCACCCCGGATGGAAACCCCATAGTCTAGGTGGTTGGGAGTAGAAATAATTCCAAAAGTATGGAGAAAAATGAAACATTTTTACAGTCAGGAGTGACACCGTATCACAATAATACAGTCCAATGTGCCTGGTTACTGTGTTCCACTGGATTTGTAAAAACTCTCCACTCACGCCCCAGCACGTGAGTGTGTGATGGGCAGCTGATTCCAGACAGCGTTCACCGTCATCTCTGCTCTTTAAAAGGCACACAGTTCTGTGTGATATTCCGTTTCAATATTCTCTAACGTAATATTCTATCATGATACGATTTCTTTGGTAGAAATAAAATTGGATTTACAAAAGTTCATACTCAAGTTCCTTTTCAGGAGTGCTTCTTCCTCTAACTTGCCGCATCTGCTGATTTCTGGCATCTTACCAGATCTACACTCCCCATCTTGAACGATTCAGGAAAATTACCTTGAGATCTATTTCTTCATTGCAATCTCTGGTTATTTTGCAATTCACAGGTCAGATTTGATTTGATGATATTTCTTTCTCACCACTCATATTTTCAGGAAGTCCAGAATGGTATTATGTTTAGAAAAATCTATGGGATTATTTTTGTAAAATAATCCAGAGCTATTCCTTCCTACTATAGGTTATGAAATTATAAGTAGACAGGTCTGGAAATTCGAATGTCAGTTTCGTGGCAGAGAGCTGCCAGGATTTGTGAATTACAAGACGTTTGAGACTATCGTCAAACAGCAAATCAGAACCCTGGAAGAGCCGGCCGTCGATATGCTGCACAAGGTGACTGGTGAGTTCTTGGTTTCACATTTAGGCATTTTATTTCCAGGGCAGGGAAAGGTGTGAACCAAAGCCAGCGGTACACGTCCTTCAGAGCCTTCCTCCTGGGGTGGTTTCCAGCACCAACGAGCAACTCTCTGACTCTCCAAATGCCAGCTTGGTGTCCAACAGCTCAATTCAGTTCTAATACTAACTGCCTGGGGTCAGCGCAGACCCCACACACACCTGGAGGTCCCACACAACTTTCCCCAACTGCAGACGCCAGTCTGAAGTCCCAGACCTCCCACGCTCCTACCTGACCGTGTGTAAGTCAGGGCTCCCGCAACCCGCTCCTCAGGCTCGAGCCTTCGCTAGAATAGTTCACAGAACTCGGGAACGCACTTTGCCGACCTTTCCTGGTTTGCTATAAAGGATGTTATAGGCAGAAAAGGACAGCCAGGTGAAGAGGAAGCTAGGGCAAGGTCTGGATGGGTTCCGAGTGCAGGAGCTGCCGTCCCCGTGGAGCTGGGGCGCACCACCCTCACGGCACGGGTGTGTGCTCACCAGCCGGAAGCTCTCGGAACTTCTCCGTTCGCAGGGTTTCGTGGAGGCGTCATCGCGTAGGCAGGACGATTGTCAACCCGATGTCCTGGCCCCTCCCCTCCCTGGAGCTGAAAGTTCTAAGCTTCTAGTGGTGTCTTGGTCTTTCTAGTGACCAGCCCTCATCCTGACGCTACCAAGGGGCCCACCAAGCGTTGTCTCATTAGAACAGCCAGGAAATCCCTAGGGATTTAGGAGCCTGTGTCAGGAACTAGGGACAAAGACCAAATACACGTTTCCTGTTATGCCACACCTCCTCCCCCTCCACCGCTATGGCTACTTCACACTCTCAGAATACTCTGTTTATTTGAAATCTCCGAGACACAAAGTCAATGATTACGTAACTGTACATGAAAGCATGTTTCAAGCATCCTGAAGTGCTGCAGGAAGTAGGGGTTGTAACGTGTCATGGGCAGGTCGGAAACCGTACTGTACTACAGGTCACATCCATCCTGAAATGCTTTGCCTCCTTGGTTTTCCTGATGCCGTCGAATCTTTCTCCTCATCCTTGACTGGCGACCTCCTTACTCAGACTTCGACTGGCTCATTTTAGCAGTAATTGATAATCATTCATAGATCATGAACTCAGGGGCTGGAGACAGCCTCAGAATGGCTCACTAAGAGATGTATTTCCAATAAAATTTTGCCTTTTAGGCTTAATAATTATATACCCAAACCTATAATTGTGTTGTTTTGGTCAATTACACACTCTTAATTCACTCCAGAAAAAAGTTTGTGATACTTTTATGTTTAATGATACAAAACA